CCCCACCCTCCCCTCCCCACCTTCTTTTTTTTTTTCTCCTCTCTTCCTTAACCCTTCTCTATCTCCGCTCCTCCCATCCCCCTCCTTTTCTTTCTCCTCCTCCTCCTTCCTCTCTGGCTTTCTCTGTCTCTCTCTCTCTCTGTCTCTCTGTGTCTGTCCCTCTCTATCTGTCTCTCTGTCTCTCTGTGTCTGTCTCTGTCTTTGTCTCTGTGTCTGTGTGTCTCTGTGTCTCTCTGTGTCTGTCTCTTTGTCTCTGTGTCTGTCTGTGTGTCTGTCTTTGTCTCTGTGTCTGTATCTGTCGATCTGTCTCGGTCGATCTGTCTCTGTCTGTGTGTGTGTCTCTGTGTCTATCTCTGTGTCTGTCTCTGTGTCCATCTGTATCTCTTTCTGTCTGTCTCTGTCTCTGTGTCTATATCTGTCTGTGTCTGTGGTCTGTGTGTGTGTCTCTGTGTCCATCTGTCTGTGTCTCTTTCTGTCTGTCTCTGTGTCCATTTGTGTGTCTCTTTCTGTGTCTCTGTCTCTGTCTCTGTGTCTGTGTGTCTCTGTGTCCACCAGTCTGTGTCTCTTTCTGTCTCTGTCTCTGTGTCTGTTTGTCTCTGTGTCTCTGTGTCCATCTGTCTGTGTCTCTGTCTGTCTCTGTGTCTGTGTGTCTTCCACTTTGAGCACTGTGTTAACACCCCCCTCCAGGGCCAGCAGCATGTGAGGCTGAGCCCTGCCCTCCCTGCACCTGGGCCTTGGTTTCCCCATCTGTGAATGGAGGTTCCCCGCACCCCCCTAGTCTGGCACTGGGTTGTTGGGAACGTGGGGTGAGCGGATTGGAGCCCAGCCCGGGCTCCCCGGGACAAGCCCTGCCCGCAAGGTGGGTGTCCCCGGCCCTTCTCCGGAGCCAGCCCTCGGTGCTTGGCTGGCCCTGAGCGTGGGCCACGGGCTGGGCCGGGCGGCCGCGGGGCAGGGGTGAGGCCAAGAATGAGCTGCGGCCCCTCCCCGCTCCCCGCCACCAAATATGTCCATGCGATCTGCGGTGACCGGCGGCCGCGTCCCGGGCCGGGCCTGGGACTCAGGCTAATTTTAGAAATGATTGTCGACTCAGCTGCCACGGGGGGAGGGGAGGAGAGGGAGGGGCAGCCCGGCTCCCCATTCCCCTTCACCAGCCTGCTGGGGCCCCTCTGCCGACACCTGGGGACTCCGTGCGCGAGGGCAGGAGCCGGAGCTCGACCCGCAGACACGAGGTACGGCGGGGCTGGAACGGGGGGGGGGCACGCGTGCCCTCTGGAATGTGCTTTGGGGGGCCCAGGCCCTGTGGGGTTATTTTAGGCCTGGTGGCCCCGGCTGCTCCCTGGGGCGGCGAGGCTGGTGGGTGGAAGGGTTTCGTGGCCCTGCGCTGGGCCCCGGGCTCGCTTCTGTAAGGCGATCGTTCTCATCGGGCCCTGGCTGCTGGCTCATCGGTGGGAGCAGCAGCGTCGGGGTCTTTGTTCAGCTTCGGTCCGGGAGCCGGGCTCTCCTGGCGCTTTCTTGGGAACGCTTTATCCACATGGGTGCGTGGGGGGTGGAGGTGCCAATGCCCTGGGGTACTTCCTCCACAAGACACATTGTCGGGGCCACAGGGTGACCTGGCGTGTGCCTGGGCGCGTTGACCTGCAGCTGCCGCCGTCGGGCTGTGGCCATCGGGGTGTTTGTTGGTGGGGGGGGGGCTTCAGAAAATCACAGCAGAGGCCGGGGGCGAGCAGGGGGGGATGGGAGACAGAGAGAGGGGGAGGGGCAGAGCCACAGGAGGAGGGGGAGGGCACTGGTGGGCATGCTGACCGCCGGCCTGGGACCCAGCCCGGGCCTGTCCCACGCGCGGTGGCCTCCAGCCCCGGGATTGGTCTGCACGGAGGGTGCCCGGGTGAGCTGGCTTGGCTGCGCCGGTGGAGACACTTGGGCCCTGGGAGGCAGGGAGCGAGCATGTGCGGACCCATGACACCTGCCAGGCCCCGGGCAGACATTAGCAATCCATCACGGCGCTCTTCCCAGGGCAGACATTAGCAACCGATCACAGGGCTCGTCCCTCCGGCTGGGAGCCCTGCTGCCACACCCCAGACGGCCACTGCCACCCATCTTGGCTGCCGCCCTGACGGTGCTGCTAGAAAGCGGCGCGCTCAGCGGGGAGCGCTGGCGATGGCCCCGCGGAGGGGGGGAGACCTTGGGACCGTGGAGGAGCAGCCCGCACAGCGCTGGACCTCTGGCCAGTGTTTTGCTGGACTTTTCCATAGGTCAAAAGTAAAGGAAGTCAAGAGAACCAGACAGGGTGCGTGAGGGACTCTTTAACGGTCCGCGCCGTGGGCGCAGCGTGGCCAGCCCGCGGTGACCTTGGCAGGGCCCAGGGGATGTGGATGGTGGAGCTGTGACCCCCACCCCGTCGCCTGCGCCCCGCGTCCAAGGTGGCCCGGGGTGGAGAGGGACAGCCGGACCGAAGACACCTTCCATGGAGGCTGGCGGCTGGCGGAGGTGACAGGGGTACCCAGGGTGCCTCCAAGGCTTGGCCCGCACCTCTCCCCCAATTTTATTAGTCTGATTGTGGCTGAGATAGCGCTACAGAAAGAAGGGGTCCGACATGCCGACAGAGGGGGCCTACCTTGGACTTTCTGCTGTGTGGCTTCAGGCTAGTGCATTGACCTCTCTGCGCTGTCCTCTAGCAGTGAGGCCGGCCACACGGTACTCGTGTGCAATTGCAATGTGACATGATGGGAGCCGGGCGCCGGTGGCTCACGCCTGTCATCCCAGCTACTCGGGAGGCTAAGATCTGAGATCGCGGTTCAAAGCCAGCCCGGGCAGGAAAGGCCGTGAGGCTTATCTCCAATGAACTACCAAAAAGCCAGAAATGGAGTTGTGGTTCATGTGGTAGAGTGCTTGTCTTGAGCACAAAAGCTCAGTGACAGTGCCTAGGCCCTGAGTTCAAGCCCAGGTACAGCACCAAAAAAAAAAGGGGGGGAGGAAGGAAGGAAGGAAGGAAGGAAGGAAGGAAGGAAGGGAGGAAGGAAGGAAGGAAGGGAGGAAGGGAGGAAGGGAGGAAGAGAGGAAGGGAGGAAGGGAGGAAGGGGCATGGCGTTGAGGGCAGGCTGATTGAGGCGACTCAAGCAAAGACTTGGAAGAGGATATGGAGGAGTGAGCCATGTTGAAGACGCATTTGAGTAATGGACACAGTGCGTGCAAAGGCCCTGAGGTTTATGCATCTGGAGGGGTGTCTCCGTGTTAGGGGACTGCCGTTAGGGTAGGTGGTCTCGGGGGGCATTGCAGAAGCCACAAAGCCAGGGGAAGTCCGTGGAGGCCTGGGGCTGGCCATGGGGGGCGGCTGGGGGGGGGCTGGACACATGGAAGGTGTTTCTAGGCCACCCCCGGCTTCGAGGGCTGCCTCTCCTGTGACCGTCCTCCTTGCTCCCGAGGGAGTCTTGGCGTGGTGACTCAGAGTCCGGGCTGAAGCCAGGGCTGGAAGGGACGGGTGATAAGAACATTGCTTAAATGAGGGCTTGACCAAGCTCCGCAGTGGGCCTGGCCGCCGGCCCGGGGTCAGTGGGGCTGGACCTCAGCCCGGGAGGGGCAGGACTGGACGCAGGGAGCCCGGGCCCGTGACCTTCGGTCCTGGCCTGGGGGCTGGGGTGGGGGGGCGGAGGAGCCCAGAGCGGCCGCCAGGGGCTCCCAGGGCCCCGGGGAGCTGCAGGGCTGGGGGGGGACGGACGCCCTGGCTGAAGGGCGTGGGCAGCAGGGCCGGTGGCCAGTGCGGACATCGCGTCAGGCCTATTCCTAGCACGCAGCTCAGAGCCTGAGTCACCGGGGGCTCGGCCCGCGTCACCCGGACGGTGGGGACCGGCCTGGGTGCCCACCTTCTCCCAGAGGCCCGGCACGGCCGGCCCATGTGCACAGCTCACCCCGGGGTGGGCTGGAGGGACAGCTGGGCTGTTTGGACGCGTTTACTGGGGTGTGGGGGTGGGGCGGGGGGTCCCCTTGGTCACGTGACCTCCCCAGACCCTGCTGGAGTGGGCGGGGGAGGCCCCGGAAGGCAGTCACCAGCACCCAGCGCTAGCGGGAGGTGACGGAGCTGGCGTGGGCTCAGAGCTGGGGGCCAGCGAGCCCCCCATCTCCCCGGGGCCATGAGATGGGGCTCCCGAGCAGCCCTACACACATGTCACCCAGGGTGCCCCCCAGAGAGCCCCTGGGCAGCAACGGCTGGGGGGGCTCTGCTGGACAGCAGGCTAGAAGGGAGGATGGGCAGGAAAGGGAGATGCCAGCCTCTGCTCCCGGCCTCCACTCCCGGCCTCCACTCCCAGCCTCTGCTCCTGGCCTCTGCTCCCGGCCTCCGCTCTGGCCTCCACTCCTGGCCTCTGCTCCAAGCCTCCACTCCCGGTCTCTGCTCTGGCCTCCATTCCCGGCCTCTGCTCTGGCCTCCGCTCCTGGCCTCCACTCCCAGCCTCCACTCCCGGCCTCCGCCCCCAGCCTCCACTCCTGGCCTCCATCCCCAGCCTCCACTCCTGGCCTCTGCTCCCAGCCTCCGCTCTGGCCAGGGCACAAAGAGAAGAGGTTTGGTTCATGGTCCTGGAGGCTCAAGAGCGTGCGTGGTGTGGGCACAGCACGGCTCCGGAGAGGGCTTCTTGGTGGGTGGTGTCTCCGTGTCAGGAGCAAGCACGAGACAGAGAAGATCGCACAGAGAGAGGCGCAGGGAAGGGGGCGGCTGGTTTTGCTCCTTTATAGCAGCTCGCTGGCAAGACCTCAGCAGGGTCTCCCTGCCCAGGCCACGCCCCAACGGCCTAACCGCCTCCCGACATGCCCCGCCTCTTAAAGGGGCCGCCCCTCACCCCGGCCCCGCTGAGCAGACCACGGCCTGCCCCTCTCAGCCCCTTCTGCGTGTCACCCAGGTCGGGACGGGCCCCCACTGTGTCCAGCAGCCCTCCTTCCCCACAGAGCAGGGAGGGGGCCGGGACACCGTGCACACACACCCTGCAAAACCACTCAACCGTTTCTTAAAAAAAGAATCAAGCGTTCAGCCAGCACGGCGGCTCAGCCTCGCAGGCTAGCGGTTTGTGGCCAAGTCCGGCATGAGTGTTCTCCAGACTTCATTTCCACCGAGGACCTAGTGCAGCTGTGCCTACCTGCCGTCCCGGCTCCGGGCCTGGCCGTATGCGCCCGTCATCCCCAGTGACACAGGGACACACCTGTAGGAGGATGACAGCCCCGGCACAAGGAAAGACCCCGCCTCGAAAACAACCACAGCCAGAGCTGGCTGGAAGCGTGGCTGGCCAGCAGGTGCAAAGGCCAGAGCTCCACCCCAGAAAGAGTGCAAGAAATAAAACAAAAAAATAGCAGAAACCCCACTGTGAGGGGCCCGAGAGAAACACGGGCGTGTGCGGATGCACGGGGCTGCGGCTGACACCAACACTGCGCGTAAAACCCCAAAGTGGATCCCTCAGTGCCCATCAATGAAGCGCATAGGTGAAAGTACTGGCGTCTCTCTGGGCAGAAGACACCCCCAGAATGAGAACAGAATGAAGAACTTGCACCCCAGAATCTCAGATGAGCTGAGGGACACCCGGTGTTCAGGAGCTAGGCCGGAGTGGTTTTGAGGGTCAGGAAGTGGATGGGCGGTGGCTTGAGCCCGAGGGGGTGGCACAGGACAGGGGGGCCCAGGGGCCAGGGGCTGGGGCTGGGGGGCAGGGGCGGGGGCTGCTGCTCCCTGGGCGGGCGTGGCCTGAGCTGTGGAGTAGCTCCGGCCCAGGTCTCCACTGACCCCCCCGTCCCCCCCCCGTTGTGTCTCTGCAGGCTGGTGGCCTCCGGCCTCACCTGTGACCTGTGTCCATTAGGCCTCGTTCTGCGTGGCCGGCAGGAGAGCGCTCATCTGCTCACCCCCGTCTGGAGCCCGGGCCCGTCTCGCCATCACCCCTGCAGCATGGCCATATCCTCCCGGCTCGCCCTGTGGGAACAGAAGGAAAGTGATGTTTGGGGGGGATGGGGCGTCACCCCAGGGGGCTCCCCCCCGCAGGGCACCCAAGCGGGCTCCCCGGGACCCATCAGTGCGCCTTACACCCCTCAGACAGTTTGTCACATGGCCGACGAACCCCAGGCCCCTTCATCCACAGGCTCGGGGCGCAGTGCATCTTGGGAATATCCCTGGGCTAGGCAGAAAGGGCATCCTCTCCTCCCAGCGTCTCTCCAGCGCCCCCTCATGGTGAGGGGAGGCAGTGCAGGGTCCCCTCGTGCGTGCTCTCCTCCCCCACGCTCCTTCCCCAGCAGATCCTCCCAGACCAGGGCTGTCCGGGCCAACGAAGGGGCCCTGGGGCCTCGGTGGTCCAAGCTCATGTCATGGGGGCTCCATCCAGGCCGATTCACACTGGCTGGCGTAGCTGCCGCTGCTCTGCGTTCATTTCCACATGCTGTCCCAGTTCCACATGCTGTCTCCTCCCTGGGGCCTCCTTCCTGGGGCCTCCTCCCTGGGGCCTCCTCCCGGGGACCTCCTCCCCGGGGCCTCCTCCCTGGGACCTCCTTCCTGGGGCCTCCTCCCTGGGACCTTCTCTCTGGGGCCTCCTCCCCGGGGCCTCCTCCCTGGGACCTCCTCCCTGGGGCCTCCTCCCTGGGGCCTCCTCCCTGGGACCTCCTTCCTGGGGCCTCCTCCCTGGGACCTCCTCCCTGGGGCCTCCTCCCCGGGGCCTCCTCCCTGGGACCTCCTCCCTGGGGCCTCCTCCCTGGGGCCTCCTCCCTGGGACCTCCTTCCTGGGACCTCCTTCCTCAACAGGGCAGCAGGGCAGCCCGCCCCTGTGGGCTCTCCCCCTCATCTCTCTCTCCTTCCTCTACAAACAGATCCGGGAAGAAGACAAGACCCCCCCACCTTCCTCACCCCCTCCCCTGTTCTCCGTCATCCCAGGGGGCTTCATCAAGCAGCTGGTCCGGGAGACTGAAAAGGAGTCCAAAGAGGCCAGGCGGAGGAAGGAGGCTGCCCTGGCCTCCCCAGAACGGGAGGTAGGGAGCCCTCGGGGAGGGGTCGGGAGCGCAGTGCATCCTGGGAGTGGACACCGTGTGGGGAGCAGGGTGCATCCTGGGAGTATCCCTCAGCCCAGCAGCCGGCATCTTCTATCTGGCCCCCCAGCGCCCCCTGTGGGCGGTGTGGGTGCTGACGTGGTGGAGCAGCCTGGTCCGGGGTCTCCTCCTGGCCTGACCCTGGCCCCCCCGCTCCCTTCAGCGTGTATTTGGCTGGTCTGCCCGTGCCCGCACCTGTCCCGGGACAATGGCCCTGCTGTGTTGGCAAACTCCCCGACAGCTGAGCGGCAGCTGCAGAAGCACCGGGGCCCCGTCTTGGGGCAGGGTGACAAGGAGGCCGGCTCCGTGCCCACCCGCACGCTGTCAGACTAAAGGCAAAGTGACCGTCCATGGGCCGCGTCCAGGCCCCGGCCTTTGCCAGCCAGCATGCATGATCCGCTCACGGGCGATAGATGATTCCAACCCCAGTTATCAGAGACCGAGGCCTAGAGGATCAAGCAGGGGTCAGGGTGGAGGCCTCGGCGGCCCGGGGAGGAGAGGACGCGGCCGGCTGCGGGCCAGGCCGGCTCCTCTGTGGACAAGAAAGGAAAACGGAGCTGAGGGAGGAGACGGGCGTCGCCACCAGGTGCGGGCAGAGGCTCGGGGCCAGGGCACAAGATGGACAGGCCTCGGGCCACGGCGGGGGCTGCTCTGGGCCAGGACCTTCCTGGGGCCAGAGCCTGGGGAATGTGTCCCTGGTGGCCTGCCACTGTCCCCAACTGGGCCAGAAATAGCCATGCCTGTCCCAGCCCGGCCCCCGCCCACCCCAGGACGCCCCACCCCCGATTCCCAGGGCCCCGATTTCCCTGAGCTCACCCGGCCAGGGAGAGCAGGGCCAGGCTGCAGGCAGGCTTAGGGGCCATGTCTGCTGGGATCTGGACTCCGGCTCTTGGTCCCGCATCCCTGTTCGCTCTGGGCCTCCGCCAGCACATCAGTAACGCCGCTGGGCCCTGGGGAAGTGCTGCTTCCTTCCTAGGCCGGGAGAGGCCAGCAGGGGCTGGAAAGCTTTCCACACCGTGGGACTCACAGGAGGGAATCCCCGGCCTGTGTGCGGGGAGGCCGGGCTGGGGACGGCTGCTGTCTTCTTCCTTGGCAGTGGCTGGTGGAAAATGATCCCAACGCCTTGTTCCTGCTGCAGCTCAGGGACTGTCGCAGGTGCTCCTGTGTGTGTGTGTGTGTGTGTGTGTGTGTGTGCACACGCGTGCGTGCTGGGAGTGAGGTTTGAACTCAGGGCCCCCGGCTCTCCTTTGGCTTGTTCGTTCATGGTTGGTGCTCTGCTACGTGAGCCATGCCTTATCCTAGCATTTTTTTATTGGTCCTGGGGCCTGGGCGCTGTCCTCAGCTCTTCAGCTCAAGGCGAGTGCTCTACCACTTGAGCCACAGCGCCACTTCTGGTTTTCTGAGTGGTTTATTGGAGATAGAGTCTCATGGACTTTCCTGCCCGGGTTGGCTTTGAACCGCGATCCTCAGATCTCAGCCTCCTGAGTAGCTAGGATGACAGGCCACCGACACCTGGCTATCTTGGCTGTTAGCTGGCTGAGGATGGACGTGTGAACGCAGATGCGGGTGTACAGTCAGTGCCATTCTGGGTTGGTTTGACAGCAAGGAGAGGGCAGAGCCCGCAGCCCCGCAAGGCTGTTACACCTTGTCCCAGAGCGGGGAGCCGGGGTACGGGGCGGCTGGGGTTTGGGCGTGGGGGAGGGGCAGTCCTGGCCACGGAGGCCCTCGGGTGCCATGGGCAGGAGTGGGGACCCCAAGGGCAGCAGCCAGGGCCCCGGGCAGGGGTGGGCAGTGGTGAGCATGGGCACCCGGCTGGACGACCACGATGTGGTCAGCACCCCCTCCCCAGGACAGCCAGGACAGCGGTCACCCTACTGTGTGCGGCAGCTGCCATTGTAGACCTACTGTGCGCAGCCTACGCTGCGTTGCCACAAATCCTCCCCCCTCCCGCCCTCCCTCCACTCTGCAAGACTATTCGTAGAGGAGCAGCTCAGAGAGGGAAAGCAGTTTGCCCGAGGCCACACAGCGAGGCATGGCTTACAGGAGCTGCCCTTGGCTCTGAGTGCCCGGGGTGGGCTCACTGACAGGCGTGGGGCCCGTGGGTGCCCGGGACAGCCAGCGGGCGTTTGGGCGGCTGACCGCAGGGTGAGGACGGCCGCTCTTCACTGTGCCCTGGCCTCTTTCTTAGGCCCCAGAAGTTTCCATCGCCCAGTCCAGCAGCAAGACCAGTGGTGCCCCCCGATCTGGAAGCCCGTCCAGCTCGCAGCGGGCCAGTACTCCAAGCGGGGACAGCCAGGGGCCCGGGGGGCCCGGCGCGG